TAAAGTTGATTAACTGTTTACACTGGGTGAAGGGTCTCGGGATCAATTCCCGGTCAAGGGCACTTACCTGGGTTTCAGGTTTGCTCCCCGCCCCGGGTTAGGGTGTGCAGGAGGCAACCAGCGGATGTGTTCTCTCACATCGACATCTCTCTCCCCATCCCTCCCTCCCTTCCACTCTCTGAAAGGCAATGGAAACAATAGCCTCAGGTGAGGCTTAACCAAAAGAAAAAGCGGAGGGGCAAACAGCACTGAACCCTCCCACACTGGCTCTTTCAGGAAGGCTGGCCAAAGGCTTAGAGCCACGCCTGCTGAACTGCATGGTCGGTACAGCTCCCAGCCCAGGCCCGCACCCGTTCCGCTCAGCCCCAGTGAACAGCACCCTGCGCCGTCCCCGCACCGAGTCTCTGCCTCGCCCGAGCACTCCAATGAAAAGGAAATCTGCCCTTTCTGCCCCTTCAGCGGGCTGTTTCTCTTCGTAGCATTTGGTTTGTCTCCCTTCCTCGAATGTAACTTCCCCCCAAACTGGGGCTGTCTGGTTACCCCCGCATTCCCTAACACATGCTAGAGCTGGCACCTGGTAGGCACTCAAGTCTGTGAAACCTCTCCTCCATCGCAGTGGCTCCTCTGCAGATGCCTGTAGAGCCCTTGCTGAGCGCTTCCTGGGCTGCTGTGACACCCTGTTGTTTTTTCTTCTATAAAAGGGAGACCACTCTCTCTAACCCTGATTCAGCCGGCAGAACACACAGCCCCTGAGAACCAGGTTTAGACCGTAAGGTTACAGAGGGAGAACATCCCACCAGGCCCATTTGTGGTTCACCTTCATCCTACTGGGTTCCAACTTCACGTCCCTAGAAAAACCATTTCTAAACCAGATACCAATTTTGACTTTTCCATGTGACTGAGGCCAGAACATGTAAACACAAGAGTTTTCCTGGTGGACCAACTCTAATTCTCCAAGGAGGCCAAGTCATAATAAAAGATCCTAGAATTGGGATATTTCCTCAGGCAAACACTTTTGGTTGGAATATTTTTAAACTTTCTAATTTTCCCAAGGATCAGAACCGCTTCCATCGGATGTCAAAGGTAGAAGACCTTGAAATTACAGCTTCCAATTATTCCATCCTAATCAGATAAAATATTTAATAAAGAAATGGTATTAAGAGGAATTTCTTTTCTTCATGTTAATCTTCTTAACCTGAATTTGCAAAAGCTCCTGGCTGTCAGTTCACAGGTGAGAACACATTCCTGAGACCAACAGCGCCACCAGTGTCTGCAGACTTAAGACTGTCCCTGATGGAAACTTGGTACCAAAGGTTAGCAAGACAGCATAGCTGACACCGCTTCCACATGAACATGCTAACAGAACAGACGGCAACAGTGCACGAGCGAAAGAAAAACAAAACCGTCTACTACTGGGTCATGTATTTCCTTAACGGGTTCAGGTAATTTTTTAGAAGGACGCTGAAGTACATCTTTCCTGTACCATTTGCCTGGCAAAGATCCTATCCCCAAATTTAGCTTTTCACTCAACAGAAACTCACCTTTGAACATGAACCTAAACCAGTACTGATGTTTTATATTCATAATTTGCACATAGGGCACCTGAACACAATCCCCTTACAGCTGTGCCTGGGATTCCTCACCTGACAAACTTAAAGTGTTTTAACAGCCAGGGGAGGGTCGAGGAGAGTGCTTTAAAAACTTAACTCCAAACACAGACAAAACCAGGCATTCATTCTGGGGTAGACGCAGACAAACGCCAGTTGATGAGCACTGAGGGTTCCAGGTCGAGATTCTGTTGTTGGGGCCATGCTTTCTCTTGCAATTTCATTGTGAAGCTCTCATCCACACCAACCTCTACAAAGTTTTCCCAAAGTGGTAGGAACTAGGGACCTGTAACCTCAGAAAAATGGTAGGGGGACTAGGTGACTAATTGTCCCTGGACTTGAAGGTGGATGAACAAGTGGACCTGTGTGTTTATCTGTGACCTGCTGTTACGTATCTAGAGTGAGTGGAAAAGTGAAAAAGACAAAATGGAAAACTTGGCTTCCATTCTATGAAACATGAAGCCTGGTCAAAAACAAAAGCATTTGCCCTGGCGTGTTTGGCTCAGTGGATAGAGCATCAGCCTGCGGACTGTAAGGTCCTGGGTTCTATTCCGGTCAGGGCACACACTGGGGGTTGCGGGCTCAATCCCCAGTATGGGGTGTGCAGGAGGCAGCCGATCAATGATTCTCATCATTGATGTTTCTCTCTCTCTCCCTCCCTCTCTGAAATCAATAAAAATGTATTTAAAAAAAAACAAAAGCATTTTGTCATCCCTTTGTGCCATAGCCCTGTATAGAAGAGCACCTAGCTTTTTCCATGGTCATACTTTTCCAAGACCATGGGTCATACACTCTGATGTGAACTTCATAGATACACTCCGAGCAAAATAAAACGCCACTTTCCAGCCAAAGTTGTCTTTGCCCAGAATCACCCGGACACCCAGAGAAAAAGTGGCAGTCCGACAGCTGACACCAAGTCACACTGCCAGAGGTCGAAGACAGTTAAGGGCATCTTTAAAGAACCAAAACCTATTATCTAAATCAGAACTTAAATACATTACATTTGATTCATGGTGTTTAAATGTCTTTTAATTAGTTGCCAACATCTTAAAAATCAATTTCCTGTAAAACCTGGAGTTATGGTTAGGAATAGGATAGAAAAGGAGGAGCTGGCAAAACCAGGACCACGTTCCCATGGAAGTGACAGACTGGAGTGGTAAGCACCAGCGCCCACACACCCGTTTCCCCAGCCACTGGCCCACCCGACACTTCCCACCTTGAATTAACACATCGCAAACCATGACCAAGTGATCTAAGGCTGAGGACAACCATTCATACTTACCCAGTTTAAAACATGATAGTTAAAAAGAATTAACACAATCTATTCCTCAGGAAGCTTTGTTGAACAGCTTTTATTAACTCATGAACACATTTACACTGCACCATATGCCAGCTCCCAAGGACAATGAAGTGGTTTAAAAGTTAAAAGCATTACTATTCTTCTTGGCCGCACGCTTGTGTCTTCATCTTTTACACACTCACACACACACATTTCTCAGTCTGCTTCACATGGTCCCAGTACCCTCTGCCACCCAACATCCCATTATACAGCTGCAGAGTAAAATAATCAGGTGCAGAAAAAGTCACAAATTAAATTGGAAATAAAATTGGATTTTAAAAAATGACAGTGAAGTATATATATCAAAAATGCATATTCTCTTGGAAAAGGTCTTATTTGAAACTTGTTGGATCACAGGTACTTACTTAAAAAATCAATTAAGTATGTTAATGAAATATATACATTCCAGAAACATGTGTTATAATGTAAAATACTGTTTTAATTCCTTTGTAAAAATAAAATCTGAATAGGAATGAAACAAATCTCTTAAAATCACCAATTAAAAGGAAAAATGTAGTTTTATAATACTGTATCAAAAATGAAAAGTAAAATATTAACTGAAAATACCACGTAGCAACAGAAATCAGCCAGGTTCTATCAGCTGCTCCATCTGTTGATGCTACTGAAAAGCGGTCGTCCTTATAGTGTTAGTAGGACGACAACTGGAATCAAACATTTACCGAATACTGTTTAAAATACTGATTTTCTCCCATACCTGCCTCTGATCACCTTAGCACTTAGCCTATCTAAAGTACATAACTCAGTGCTTTAGATTTTCTCTACCCTTCACTGTCCCCAAACTCCTCACCTAAAAAACACATTTAAGTCTTGTAAGTACTGGTTACAGAAAGTGGAGCAGGTGCCCTCGCTGGCTTGGCTCAGTGGATAGAGCATCGGCCTGCAGACTGAAGGGTCCCAGGTTTGATTCCGGTCAAGGGCACATGACTGGGTTGTGGGCTCAGTCCCCAGTAGGGGGTGTGCAGGAGGCAGCCGATCAATGATTCTCTCATCATTGATGTTTCTCTCTCTCTCTCCCTCTCTGAAGTCAATAAAAATATATTTAAAAAAAATAAAGCGGGGCAGATGAACAAAAGCGTGGAAGAGGAGGCCCAGGCACAGTGCCGCAAAGGCCAGTGGCTGCTGAGTAAATGACTCATCTCTGTCTGACAAAGTTGTTCTAAGTTGGTAGAGTTCATAGGCTCCCTCACACTCTATATCAAATATGCAAAGCTCGCCCTTGCTTACTTAGCATGCAAGCTCTTATGTAGAGTGGCTTACGACCCTAATTCAAATATGTATTGAGGAAGTACTATATTCCGGGTTTGACTCAGTCTCAGATTCTGGTAAAATAACTTACATAAAAGAAATTTATCTTCAGGAGTCTCTTCATCAATCAAGTGTAAATGGAAAACTAAGCAATAAAGTTCAAAAACTTGCCTGAGATCCCAAAGCTAACTTTAACGACATGCTGAACACCTACTACCTCCAATGTCACGTTACCAACAGGTGACATCCCTAGGAGGCAGGTGCCAGGCCCCAAAAGCAGGTATGATCCAGCTCGGAAACTCTTTCTAGGATGGCCAGCTCTGTTTATACCCGGCATCTGCCCTCGGGACCTCATGTTCCTCCGATCATTTAGATAACGCAATTCGGAGCACTCACTGGAGCAGCTTTCATACCCAAAACAATCATATCCAAAGTCACAGGAAAAAAGAGATTAAAGCTCAAGTGCAAAATAAAAAAAAACGTACATACGTACCTTAAACATTTTACGTAAGTTTAACACATAAATGTGCATTCATCTATCTGCCCATTTTACTATGAGCCAAAGCACTTGGCGAATAGGAGCGATGATGAAGTTCCTTGCAGAGTAACATTCCTTCTGCTTGGTCTACACCACATCTATAAATGCATCATGGCCAACTTCCATTTTTAGTAAGAAATCCTTGTAAAGCAATCTACATAGAGTCTTGGACTATTTTTATTTTTCCTCTCCAACTTTTACTTATTTGCAGCCACATCTAAATTCTACAGCCATTATTTTAGTGACTCACCTTTATCAAATCTTTCCAAAGAATCCAACTCGGTTTTCGGGGGAGGCGGTTGGGGGGAGGGTAATTTGCTCTCATTTTAACAATTGACATAATTAAATTATTATTGTGGAAACAAGGTTACCTGCCAGGAAATAGTATTAGAAGCCAACGTAATGTCTGGCAAGCATTCAGCTCACCCAGTGCAAGCCCAGTGCTCCGACTGGACAGCAACTGCCTAGCAGAGGTCAGATGCCCTCTCAGACCCAGAACCAGCTCACACAGAGCAGTCGGCACCCTGGTGAGGCAGCTGAGCGAGCACCCACCTGCTGTGTGAGCAGAGGACAGAAAGGAAACAGAGCTGATCCTCAGGAATCTGTCATCTAACCAAGGAGGTAAGAACACTCACCAATTCAGTGATAAGAGTAAGAGGCGGTCCAGGTGACAACAGAAAGCCCCATGCAAACCCAAAGGAAGATCCGTGTCCTCACAGGGCAGGTCTTCCCTCGACAGCTGTTTAAAGTGAACTGAGGCAGGCGCTCGCGGATGACGGGGCAACGTGGAAAGGGAGGGCATTCCAAGAAAAGCAGTGACACAAGCACCTGAGAAAATGAGAGCGAAGGGAGGTGACGGCTCTGGGCAGCCTGGTCTACTTGGTGTAGAGATGGCAGAACTTTAGAAGGGGAGCGGGAGTTTAAAAAAAAAAGAAAGGTTGGAGTCCTCTCAGACAGCCTTGGATGCCGGGATTGATCTGAATGTCTTTTTTAAAAGAGGTGCTGTGACTTAGCATTAGGGACACAATCAACGGATGTGCGAAAGCAATGACATAATCCATACAATGCTCTGCTTTATCTCCTTGTTAAAAATGCATTTCCATTGGATTCTTTTCAAGTAGCTCAACAACATATCTTCTTGCACTCAGATGGTATTTACAATGAACCCCTGAGCAGGTGAGAGACCAGCTGAGTAAGAAACTGCAGGACTCAAGCAGGAACTAGGAGTGGCCATCTAGGGCAGAGGGGAGACGAGATGGGACTGAGGTGGAGGACACCAAGGCTGTTCAGCTCCAGGGGACAGAGACAGAGAACCCAAGAACAGAAGTAAGACAAGCTTAGGGTAGACAACTCATCAAATCTGAACCACACTGAGTTTGCAGTGCCAACAGGACATCCAGGAGGCTCTGACCAGCACAGTTCAAGTACAAAATGCCAGAATTCTTAGCTTGTTACCAACAAAGGCAAGTCATCCATATGGAGGTCAAAGGCATAGTACATACAGAGGAGGAAAAGGAAGGAATGAAGGCAGAAATGTCAGAAACAGGACCCTAGCCCTGACCGGTTTGGCTCAGTGGATAGAGCATCGGCCTGCGGACTCAAGGGTCCCAGATTCGATTCCCGTCAAGGGCATGTACCTTGGTTGCGGGCACATCCCCAATGGGGGGTGTGCAGGAGGCAGCTGATTGATGTTTCTAACTCTCTATTCCTCTCTCTTCCCCTCTGTGAAAAATCAATAAAATATATTTTAAAAAAAAAAAGAAACAGGACCCTAAAAGCTGAGATGCTGAACCTGGGAAATTGTCTTACACTCTGAACTACGGTCAGCAAATTTCCATAAAGGACCAGAGAGTAAATACAAACAAATGAACAGGGTGATGTTCCAAGACACCTGTGTTCATGAACTCTTGACATTTGAATTTCACATCATTTTCATGTCATAAAGTACTTTTTTTTATTCCTCCTCTCCCCCTACCCCAACTACTTGAAAATGTAAAATCCTTTCTCAGCTCACAGGCCGTACAACTACAGGTAGCCAGTGAGATCTGGCGTGTGAGCCAGTTTGCCAACTCCTACTCTAAGTTAGAGCAACGAGGATAAGAGAACTGGAGTAATTATCCCTTTCCAAATTTCTGAGGTATTTTTCCTTTAGGTAAATTAACAACTTACCAGACATTCATTAAATTTGCATGATTTTCTTATATTTGACTAATTCCTGCCCTGGCCAGGTGGCTCAGGTGGTTGGAGCATTGTCCCTTACACCAAAAGGCTGCAGGTTCAATTCCGGTCAGGGCTCACATGGATGTTTCTCACATCCATGTTTCTCCCCCAACCCCCTCTCTAAAATCTATATAAAACATATCCTCGAATGAGGACTTAAAATTTTTTTTACTAATTTCTTAATTTTTATTCCCCTAAGAGATAATTATGTGTTGATAATAATCCCTGGTGCTTAAGAATACTGCCTTCTTAAGCAAAAGATAAAGAGGTATTCTTTATCTTGAACAGAAAAATCACACCTGTACAATTACAGTGCAGGCACTAGATGGAAAATACTTTAGAATTTGTCCCTCATTTCTTCCAAACTGTTTTCTCAAAAGTGATTTTATAATCGTCTGCATGTCAATACTAGACTTAAACACCTATAAACGTCAGTGTTGAATGTGAGGCATGAACAAGAAGAAAACAGAGGGTGGAATGTCCCTTCTGACAGGCTTTCTTCAGAAACACAAACCATGTCTGGCGAGGAAGGACTCCTTACCCCGCAGCCACTCCTCGGACCTTAGCAAGCGCAGGGGCAGGAGCAGGCACCTTCTTCAATCACTTGCCGGCAATGAGCTGTAACCCAAGAACACTCTAATCCCAAGGACACTCAATGCGCCAGGCTCGTCTCTCATTACTGGGCAAGTATTTTAAGTTGTCCAGTTTCAAGCAGACAAAACACAAAGGGTAATTAGTAAAGATACAAGCTAAGCTATTTGAGGGGGGCCCATAAGAGGGAAAAAAAGACCAACTCAGCCATCTGACAGATAGAACAAAGGTGTTCCCATTTGAATTTTTGTCTGCCACCACCTGGGAGCAGAAATGTGTCCATTTCCTAGTCATCAAATGTTGCCAAGCAGCCAAACTCCAATGAGCTAGGGCTCCAATGAGTAGGGCTGGTCAGTCCCACATGAGTTCATCAGCACCCTAGGCAGGTGTCTAAAATGCCAACATTTTGTAGGCGTTACTTTCAGAAGACCCTGGCCTGGATATAACTCTAGAGCAAATACAAAACTTCTGCCAGCTTTTCTAATCAAAAAGGCTTGAGTGAAGAGAAATAGAAGGCACTCTTGCCCACACAATCAGAAAGCGTACTGCTTGCTATATTTTGGGAACTGGACTATCACTACATTTTAATTTTTAAACACATAAGACCCAGGTGGTAAGTTAAACTCAGATTATATCATAAAATTCTTTGCCTACAAAGAACTATTTCAATGAGTTATCTTAAAATTTAAAATATAACCTGCTTTTCAATAAAATTAAAAATGAGGGGTATTAACCCTAACTTGTGAAATGTTTTAAAGAAAAAAGAACTTAAGATTGCCAGAGTAGGTAGCTGCTCTTGTTTTCCTACCAGGAAAACACGTACCAGAGGGTATATAAAGCTGTTTCACTGTATACACATGCATTCATTTGGCAACTAAGCTAGTTATTCCTTAAACCATTAACCTGTAATTCTTCCTGTAAAAATGCCTGAGTAGCTCAGGAAGGCCAGGAGAGAGCATGTTCCCAGAGCTTTCACGACCCTACAAACGCCAGCTCTGGGCAAACGTCACAGACAGGATCATTAGAGCGTCCTCCGGCAGCCGGAGACTAAGTGCTCTGCAGGGGCGTCTGCACCTCACAGGCCCTCTTCCGGAGCCCATCCCGAGCCCGAGAACTGCCTACAGTTTACACAGCTTTTCCTAAGTTCTCTACACAGTAGGGGCAATTCATCTGTTACACACAAATTAAATACCAACCTTTAAAGCTAATTTCAAAGTGACATCTATGGCCGTCAGTCCTTTCCTCAGCCCTCAGCCGCCCAATCAATGCGTGACGCTCCCCGTCTGCTAAAGGCCCCGCGCCAGGACGGGACGGGGTGGAGGGAACGCGCCTCTCACCGGCCACCCCTTTCTGCGGTTAGAAAGCGTCTCCCGCGCTGGACTGGGCTCCCTGGGAGCTGCAGCCTGTGCTTGTCCTCAGCTGTGTCCTCCCACAGGTGAAGGCTTCCAGGAGTAAGTGACGCTCTGTGACGTTGGTACAGCTAGAACACCACTTTCAAAGTGTTTTTTCCTGGAGACTCCTCTATAAATATGGCCTAAGCAACCATCTTTTCAAATGGCTGCAGTCTTTCCCTCTAAAGGTGCCCTCCCAGCACCTATTACTTCACTGCGTTCAATTTCAGAATTTAACCCCACTTTACTTACTCTTCACGCTGAATTAAAAGTTGGGGGAAATGGAAAGGACATGTTTACATCCACACGTTACGATGAAAGTTAAGCTCAACGGCACCTGCAAAGTCTCCTCGGGAGGACTGGTCTCTACATCCACACGCAGGAGGTGGAGGAAGGGCAGCCGCAGAGGCCGAGGAAAGACCGCCCTGGGCTTCTCAGTGGCCGGCACCGCTGCAGCCACAAGGATCGTCTGTGCTCCGCCTGGTCAGGCCACGGGACCCCCAGTGCTTGCACACACGGCGAGTCTCCAATCCACGGGATGTGGGAGCGCCTCACACCACAACCAGCTTACATTTAAACCGCTAGCAGGTGCTGGCTGTGGAGGAGTCCGGTACAGGTCCAAGGAAATGAAAAATGGGCAGGGAGGAGTCTACACTCCAGGGACCCGGGATGCTCTTCAAGCAGAGCACAGAGAAGGACCAGAAACACTCCAGTCTCCCAACTTCCAATTCGCAGGCTTCCTCGATTCCAAGACAGAAACGGTCTGGGGAAGGTGGTGGGAATAAGCCATCACCTTGAAGGGTGATACTGTGAAGAGGTATAGATTTCAGAATCTAAAAATGTGAAACGTACCAGCTTCGAATGGAGGTGCTGCCCCAGGCTTCCCGGGGGACCGCCAAGTGCTGCCCAGTGAGCGGAGCCTCCCGCCTCCCCAGGCGCCCCGCTCACAGCTGAGCGGCACCCGCAGTGAATGCACCGCAGGGTGAACTTTTCCATCCATTCTCCTCCCAGTATTGATCCAATTTCAGAATCCTATTTTCCTAAATTGAAAAGCAAAATTGTTCAAAAGCAGCGAGTCTTTGTGCGTGTCATTTACCACCAACTTAAAAAGAAGTTTTGTGAAGGAAAAATGAGTTTTGTTGTTGTTTAATCTTTATTTAGGCCAAGGAACTCTTCGCCACGAGCTCGCCCTGTTACAATGTCCTATCTGTAGTCCTGGCCTCCTCCGCCCGGAGGGAGCTCCCCATGTTATGCATCAAGGCTTTTCACCCCTGCGCCCCGTGAGGGCGTCCAGGAAAGCAGGAACTGCTATTGTAACGAACTGTACCCTGTGGCTGACCTAGAGCAGGGCAACACAGTGCCTGCTCCACACAGGGGCTTACACCCCCCCCACGGAGCCTGGTAAGGGATCCTTTACTAAAACCGTCAGCCCCGCTCAAGGCAGAGTCCGAGTCCTCACTTCCAAGGTGGACGGGACACGTGTGCCTGCACCCTGACTCTTCAGGGACGACCTTTCCCCCCAAAACAAGGTAAACGAAGGAAACTTCAGTAACTGCCTTTCCCAGGTTCTACGGTGTCTCCTAAAAGCACGGGCAAAACACCAGAGGCTTAAACAGTTTCCATGTGTTTATAAATGTTTCCTCCCACACCTTCCTATGCTTTGAGCTAGGAAGCTGGGGGGGGGGGGGGGGGGGGGAGAAAGGGGGGCTCCTCGCCACCATCGTGTTTCCCCACCTTCAGGGACAGCCAGCTTGGGGACGCCAGACCCGACCAGGAGGCAGCGGGGCCTTCCTTTCCTCCCTGACCGGGTGCAGCCGCCCAGGGCTCGGTGCTCGGTCCGTTCCTAGCGCCGGGACCGGGCTCCGGGCTCCATTTCACCCCAAACTTCCAAACAGCTACTTCTCAAAAGTGACCCAAAGCAGGATCCACGCCTGAAGGTGCCAGGTCCCCAGCGCTGGGGGAGCCAGGCTCCGGCCGTTCAGACGTAGCGGTAGTATTTCTATTTTTATTTTTATTATCCCTGGAAGAAAGCACACACAGGCCACGCACCACGCACCGCACCACGTTACCCACGTCTCGCAGGAAGATTTCGGCGCCGAAGGAGTCCCTGCCCGGCGCGGGGACGAGGAGCTGCCTCCGGGCCGGGACGCGGCAGGTCGGTCCTCGCCG